CAGGAGAGGAAGGCTCAGACTTTGTTATTTGTGGGGATTAAGCAGACTATCCCTAGTGGAGAAAGGAAAGGATGGGGAAAGGCAAGACAGCCTGCCCGTTCCTTCATATTTGTAATGCTCTCTTTTTATTCCCTTTCTTTTATTCACGCTTTCTTTCCCTTTGCATCCTCCTCCTCCCTTTTACTCTTCCTTCCTTCAACTGCCACAATTAATAGCCCTGCCCCATCTCTCCTTTTGCCATTTGCTCCCTCCCACCAAACTCACCAGCAGCGTGAGCAGGAGCATAGACGCCTGTCCCTGGCTGCATCAGGAGCCTTCCCAGACAGCGGCAGAGAAGGCTGAGCTGCCTCTGGCCTCACCACGTGCAGGAGCACCCGAAACCAGCTCCCTGCTGCCCTGACGGCGTGTGCCTTCAGGCTGGCTAGAGCCGCCATGCACTGCTGGGCTTCGCAGAGGGCAGGCTGACATCAGTATTTCAGGACAGAGCTGCAAGTAGTCCCCTAGGTACAAAAGCACTCACCCAGTGTACTATTAATTATGCCTGCTCAGCTGGCCAGGACAAAACATTATTTTCTGTTAAACCAATAGGGACAGGCGGTGAACACAAGGGACCCTTCTGATTTTCAGGAACTCTTGATTACTCTGTGTAACCGCATGGCCTCGGCCACTCAGAGAAGGGTGCAGCCAGGGAGAGCAAGAGGAAGGAGCATGGGCTGGGAAAAGCATTTGAAGAGAGCAGTTACATCTATTTTTTTCTTTCTTGGGTTGGATGGCAGGAATTTGTCACCAGAGAAATTATTTCTCAAACCTCCAGATGCATTCAAAATAAAGAACAATGGACCACATGATAAGCTTTCTGCAGCTTTCCCCACAAAAGAGACGCCGGATGTTTTTTTCAGCCCTGACAATAGCTTTCATACACTTTTGTGTTATGTAAAATTAGGATTTTTACTGCCAGAACAGAGGCATTTCCTGCTGGATTATACTGAAGCGAGCCTGTGAGACCAAGGGGTCCCCAGTTGTTGGTCTCATTTAAAATTTCAGTGAAACAGTATGGTCCCTGAAAAGCTGCATATCTTTTAGCATTATCATTGCAGAGACACATAACAATTACAGCCAAAGCACTTTGTCTACACCTAGGAAAACAAGTGAACAGCTAGCCTTTTCCCCTTTGGTCCTAAAAGAAAAAAGACTTCTTTTTTTGGTTTTTGAATAAGAAGAAATGAAATTCAGAGACATAAAAAGCCAGGTTAAGGATTTGTCACCAGTGATGGCTGTTATTCCTATTACATGGATGGATTTCAGCAAAAAGGCCACGCAAAAATTATTTAAGAGCATCTTTCTCTGCCTTCTGCAAATGCCACCCCAGCAAGAGAACAGGGGGCAAGGGAAATGCTTGAATATAGTCAATAAATATAAATACACAGCAGGCTTAGCACCCTAGGGGAGAAATTACTGTCCCGAGTACATTTCTCCCCTTGCAGCCATACAACTGCTGACAGAACGAGGAGAATGCTGATGCTGCAGGAGGACTAGCACGAGCCTTAGGAGGAGATATCCTCGTTCGGTGGAAAAAGAAATAGTCAGTCCAGTGGCCAATAATTTTTAAAAAAGTTGCCAAATTCAAGCCTCCTGAATTCCTGCCTGGATTTTTCCAACAGCATCAAGGCACAAGTCAGAGGGAGGTGCTAAGCTCACAGCATTTTGAAAAACAAGCCTGTTTGTTAGGATAGCATCCCCAAAAGGACAGCCAACAAGTTTAAGCATACCTTTAAGAAAGTGTTTCCCCCTATCACCCCCCACATGATTTCTTATAATCAAGGAACTATCTGAAAAGAGATGGGCTTCAGGGATTACATCACATGAGCAAACGCCTCATTTTTATATTCTTTCTCTGTATCCTTTCTCTGAAAGGGGAGCCAGACACAGAAAACACTTTGAAAGAGATGAAGCTATGGTGAAACACCTACAGAGGTTAATGCTGAGAGTCACTTCGAGTGACTCTCAAGTGATCCAGTTACAAAAATATCCTTAAAATGAAGAAAAATCAGGTATTTAAAGCCCTTAAAACACAATTTTCAGTTTGTAGATTCCATAGGCTTTGTGGGGTGCTTTTAAGGATCTGCAAAGGTAAGTATAGTGACAAACAATAGGTTTGTTTTTCTTCAACTTGCATGCAGGTGTCCAAGACCCAACTGGAAAAAGCCTGTAAATTAACAGAGCTTGCAAACCTTTGCCATGCAATATACATACACCAGGTGAAGGCATTATTGCACACTGATAATAACAGCAGGGGGGTTGCCCCGCAGAGACCTAGTATACTCTTTTATCACTAGCCAAAGCCTGTACTACTCCTCCTTTATCAGACAGACTGAAGCTAGAGCAAGTACACAGCCCCAGCTTGCAGTCAAACCTCCTTGCTCTGGTTTTGATGCACCCTGGATTGCCCCAAACCCAAGGTTAGATCCAGGTTGAGCAAGCGCTCACATTGTCTTAAATGAAGATACCCTCTGATGGTGAAGAGAAGCCCAGAAATAGGAGGTTTTTTTTGTTTGTTTTTTTTTTTTTAAGATTACACTTACAGGAAAACGCCAGGCCGCACCAGCTCTTTGTTGCAGAGGCAAAGGCGATGTGGTTCGCAGCAGCTGCCGGGCAGGCAGGGAGCAGGGCTGGGAGCATTGCCTCCTTGTGGTTACAAGTCAGCAGCAATGGGATTGCATTTAAGAAAACGAGCGAGCAAAGCTCTTCTGAGCTGTTGCACACGGACCCCAACACCAAACCTGGTTTGGCTCTGGTCATTTATGCAGCACCCCATGCAAGAGGCACAGAAAGCACCTTGGCTTATGTTCTCACTCTCCCAAGCTAAAAATCAACTGTTGGCAGGTTTTAGGAATAGACAGGAAAAAAGTCAAATCGATTTTAGGGTTGTTTTTTTTAACCCTGCCTCCTGACTGCAAGACAAGTCCAAACAAGAATACACTCCGAAAGACTTGAAATCCATGTCTACTCTTCCTCGGGCTCACACTCTGACTGAATTCAGTAGCGGCTTTGCTTTCCTAAGTACGAAGCTGAAATTTCCTCCTATCGCTTAACCTTTGCCCAAGCTTTTCAGCTGAGGCTCAACTCCTTATTAGCAGGTCTTTAAAACAGACCTTCTGCCCTAGGGTAAACTCATCCCAACAGAATCTGTTCTACAAAGAGCAAAGGAAAAAGACTGAATTATTTTGCTTTTATCATAAATAACCTCTTCTTGTGAACGGATCTCCAGTCGCCGTTAACTCCAGGCCTACCGCACATAGGAGCTGAACCACGGCCTGCAGAAATCAATACCATTGACTCCAATCTGAATCATGCTTAGCGGTCTTGGAGATACATCCCACTCTTCCAGCAAAGAAAAATATGGATGTCAGCAGATGCATTGACAGTAATGTATGCTAACGAAGGTAATGTAACCTAACAACATGTGAATTATTGATGTAGGCATGTTTAAACAGAAAAATCAGCAAGGAATCACACCAGACCAATACACTCCAGTGTTTGTTCACCAACAGGCAATTGGAACGTGATGGTCATGAGAACACTCATTACCACTTTATTACTTGAAAGGATTTTTGTTAGGTTATCCATGTCTCACCTGATACATGGGTCATTTATTTCACATCGTGTGACACTGTGTGATCTCAATGAGCCATTTGTACTAGCATCAAATGAGTTACTTTTACACATCTATAGTTTCCTCTGAACTTTTCAGACGTTTATGATAAATCATACTGCTTTGCCTGAATTATTTTCCTTAATCTTATTTATCAGTCATAGATAAGGGCTGGTTTAGTCTCTCATTCGGAACAATTCATGGAAGCGTAAAACTGCTGAATGCAGCTAAGTTGCTCCTGATTGCCATGAGGCACATGGAGAATGAAACTAGCTCCTTTGTCTGGCGCGGCTCTGGTTCCCAGGATGTCAAGGCAGCTGACTCAGCTCTATCATAAAATAAACATAGTTTGTCTATCTAAACAGTTTTATCACATCCATGTTCTCCTAATGTATTTAGAGAAAATTTATTTTGTACTACAGTAAAAACAGGATATGTGTTCAATAATCATCAGTGTTAATTTTACTATTATTCCATTATCCTGTGAGATCTAATCATTCTGTCTGTACTTTCGGGTGAGTTGGCTCCATCTCTGTGGTATCTGGGAACTACATTGCAGACAGGCTTTCTTTTTGTAAGGACTGTTGGGGCATACGGATTTTTATGGTCTCATCATGTCCTCACCAGGTTATATTGATATGCAGCGTCACTGCATTGATATAGACAAAAGATTTCCTAGCACATACTGCATCTAAAAACCCCCAACCACCAAACCGCAGCCAATCGCCAACGCACATTTCTGGACATTTCAGTGCTGCATTCAGTTCTGAGAGTGTTGAGTGGGCAGGGGAGAAAGCTGTCCCCTGGCTGGAGCCAATCGGGGAAACGAATCCCTGGATTGCTCCATCGCTACCCATGCATGGGGGAACTCAGCCGCTCTCTTCGGAGAAATCAGCATCCTCAATGCCCAAGTAAGCTTTGCAAAGCCATGGAGAAGAAAACAAACCTTAACCGAGATAATTAAAATAGCTCCTTATTTCAGAAGAGTTATCACATTACTCTCAATGCAAGCAATTAATCTTACTGATAATAACAGCAATGCATTGTAAACTGCTCCTCAGTTTCTCCAGCACTTGCAAGAGAAACGCACTAAGCCTTTTCCAGTTGTATTTATAAAGGAATATTTGGGCTTTTTTTGAGGAGGGAAGGAGTTGGGGGACAGTTACGTGCTTATTCGCCATGTTAAAACAGATAAACACGCTACAAAAGATAACCCCTTTTAATTTATTGAATAGACACTATGCCACAGTGCTTATCATCAGAGACCAGTAAGTCACCAAGGCAGTGAAAACCAAGGGGCATGTATGTGTGCGTAATCATGCAGGAGCACCATTTGGTTTTGTTTTACCTTTTCCGGAGCCGGGAACTGCAGGTGATTTACTTCCAAAGGTGTGATCAAAGGAACTGTTTGAAAACCATCTTCGTTGGATGGTTGTTTGTTGTTCTTGTCGTTCAAATTACTCCCCAGCTTCACCATTCTTGGACCTTGCTTTCCAGACCTAAAACCAGCAAGATGATCAATGTCACAAGGGCAGTGGGAAGAGCAGGATTTCTGCCTTACCCTGCTCGGTTTGACTTAGCGTACCGGTTGCCTGGGCTTTTACACCTGGGTTTCTAGACACACCGCATACCACACCACGACTTGACTACACACATGCATTTTGCCGTGCCTTACGCAGACACCCCACAAACACCCCTTAAAAACCCCCGCTGTGAGCGCAAGCACGGCTGCTCCCAACGCACCGACACCGCAAACGGCATTACCGATCGGGACTGCCACCGCCACCGGAACAACCGCAAACATTCACAGGGACGGTGCGCATCTCCCGCTGGCG